TGTACTTCGGCACCGACATGATTTATAACAATTATTTTACAATTCCCCATTGATAAATTTAAGAAATTATTAAGAAAATAAGGTTCCAACTCCTTCAGGCTAAGTTGAATTTTGGTGAGTTTAGCTATTCTTAGGTCCTTTTGGTCATATATAGCTCCTAACGATTCTATGTATTTATACATCCCTTGCTTTCAAACGTTTATGATGACGGAAAATCAATAAAAAGAAAAATATCAAAAATGCCGAACTCCAAGGAAAATTCAGAACGGAAAATCCTTTACCAAATGGCAAAATGAAAAGATCAAACAAATGGAAAACAACAGTTACTGTCATATTCCTGACATTCCATTCCATAAAAGCGCTTTGGACGCGCTGGATTTAACAGTATTAATTAATTATTAATGGGTCCTTTTGAATCCCCAAAACAACTTATAACTTCTTAACTGGCCAGTCTCCAAAGCTCTTATATTAGATAACCTACGAACTAATTGAAATTAACATGACATTAAGGTCTAAAGTAGATCTGACGTAATGCCTTGTATAGTTTCCAATTAAATTAATCCATTACAATCAGCCAGAAAATTTACTAAAAATAAAAAAAACTGTAAAAAAAAGTCTTCATGGGACATCTGATTTACATTATTTGTTGATGCATTTTCAGTGTAAAATAAATAAAATAAGTAAAACAAATGCAGTGTAAAATAAATAAAATAAGTAAAACAAATCAAACCCAGTTGATTTTATTTACCAAAATGTTCCCGGGGAACAGAAACGGATCGAGTAAAAGGGGAAGTTTCAAAGATTTGCCTCGAAAAACGAAACGTTTCAGAATTGAATTCTTTTGTACTGTTTGTAATAGTGAAATATGCGAAATCAAGTTTGATAATTTCATATTTTAATTATATAATAAGCAGGAAGAAGTTTAATACGCAGTTATTAAATTTGATAGAAAGTTTGTAAAATATAGAGTGCCTCAAGGTTCCATAGTATGTTTTTTTTATTTGTAATCTATATATACAAGCTCTAACTTTAGACCAGAACAAGAATATTTTTGAAAAAGTACAAAAATTCTTATTAAAAAGCAAGAGATTAACAAGTTAAACTGTTATTCACTATTATGACAAAGTTGCATTTCATCTGGACATGTGTGTAGTATTTCAGTGTATTTTATTTTTTCTTATTATTTTTTTTTTTAATTTTAAAATTTAAATTTTTTTCTTCTTTTGTTGTATTTTTATTATTTTCAAATTATAATTTTTTTCCCGTTCTTTCTTTGTTATGTAATTAGGTCTTCCCACTTTTCTGTGGAAAGACCTATTGTATTTGTTCTGATTATTATTTTTTTCTTCCGCCAAATTTTGTTATCGCGTAAAATTTTTGTTTCGCAATATGTCGCTAAGATATTTCTTATATAGTATCATACAGTTTATGCGCTTTTTATTTTCACCAAATCTAAGCCGAACAATTTTCTTTGTAAGGGTTATCTCCCTATTCACTGTTTAACAAGTGTGTGCATCTCCTTCGTAACAAAAAAAGATATCAACAAAATTCTTTTTCTAAATTGTTCGTTACATCCTCAGGAATTTTTGGCTAATTTGGATCGAAGCGATTCGATGAAATTTTAAAGGAGTTATCTACCTTTACCAAATAAATTTGTCGGTATGTTTTTTTAACTCATAAACCGTTAACCGTATAATCCTGGGGTCGGTTTCACGAAGCTATCCTAAGACCTGTCGTAAGACATATCTTAGGACATGTCTTATGATCCTCTTATGACTATCCTAGGACATATCTCAGACCTCGTCTCGAAGCTGTCTTAGGATGATCTTAGCAAAGATGTCCTAAACCTGTCGCAAGTTCTTTAAAATTTACAATATAAACATTGATTTATGCGAAAATTCATGTAAATATAGTATGTATTTCCCATAAATTAATACACGTATTGATTAATATCCAATAATTAGATAACTTGCAAAATTAATATAAAAAAATAAGTGTAATGTATATAAATAATACACCAATATACATAAACAAATTTAAATACAAAATGAAGAAGAAAAAAAAAAAAGAAGAAAATGTTGACAATTTCTTTTTTTACAAGTGAGTTGAATTCAATTTTTCACTGTATCGGTTATAATAAGGTTAAAGGATAAAATCGTGCATTCCTGCTATAAATACATCGAATGTTCATTGTTGATAAATCATTCTGATAATCCGTCAACCTAAAAAGATTTCGTTATGAGCAGGAAAAGGAGTCCCAATTTCACCGAATCAGAGCTTCAAATTCTTCTGGATGCCGTGGAAAAGAACAAGTCAGTTCTATTCAGTAAACTGTCCAATGTAATTACAAATAGTGCTAAAAAGAAGATTTGGGAGAAAATATGCAGTACAATTAATGCAACAAATCACACTGACCATACACGCACGGTAGAGGAGATTCGCAAGAAGTGGACGACATACATGAGCAGTGTAAAGAAGGATGCTTCAAATAACCGTCGCGAGGCACGGAAGACGGGCGGCGGACCTCAACCAGATGAATTAACTCCACTACAAGATAAAGTCGTCGGAGAAACACCAATAGAAGGCATAGAAGGGGGAACTGACACAGGATCTGTACCATCTGCGGATGGAAGTGAACCCGATGTCTTGGACTTCACTTTCCCTACCTGTCCGAATTCTCGAAAGAGTTCAAATTCGTCTATGGAAAACGGTAAGTTTCTTTATTAAAATGATAAGATGAGGTGTGATAATAATGGCGGATCCAAGGTCAAGGGGCGAGAGTTCTGAGGGTTGGACCCCCCTTTTGTTGGACACCTTATGCTGGTTGAAACCCCCCTTTTTATACGACATGTATGTACGCATTGCAACCCCTTTTTAAAATGGCTGGATATACCCCAACTCACCATGCAATACAAAATGTCATTAATGTACGCAATTATATGTTACTGGACGACCGTTAACGCGGAGCTTAGGGAGCTACCATTTGAGTTTTAGAGGGGGGGGGGGGATGATGAATAATTGTGTCCTGCCTTTTTTTTTTTAGATGTAATCTCTGACTTTTTTTTACATACATTGTGATCCTACCTTTTTGTTACACAGTTGCTCATCCTGCGTTTTTTACTCAAAACTCCTGTCCTGTCAGTTGCGGATCCAGAGGGGGGTTCCGGGGGTTAGAACCCCCCACTTTTTTACGATCAATGCATTTGAATGGGGCCATATTGTTGGAACCCCCTCTTTATCCTGGGTTGGAAACACTAGTACCACCCTATTTTTTACTCCAATTATATGTAATTACAAATTCCAGTGGCCAAATGTTTATGATTAACACAGTCGAAGTGTATTACCTGAAGTACGCATAATGGAAAAAGTTCCAATGTCCAGGGGTGTGGAAATATTTGTTGTGACCACTTGCCCCCAGGCAAGTAAATTGTAAATTTTACTTGTCCGAAAGTAAAGTTACTTGCCCTGATTTCTTAATGCATTTTGGAATGAAGAAGATGTATTTTTCTGTAAACGTGTATGTTTCTAAAACAGTTTTGAAACACAATGAAAATGGTATGCATGGTCTTTGTTTGTATATTAGAATGATACAAAGATAAGTAGAGCATACACCAATGAGCTACATTGTAGAAACCAACCCCAAAACAACTCCGAATTAAAGAATCTAGAGGCCAATATTGCAATGTTGTTCAATGCTTGCTTACATGAACCTGGGAGATTATATCATTACTTATTTATATTTTATTCACTGTGAGCCAGTGCGAAGATTTAAAGTTAATGAAGAGATAAAACCAAATAAATGACGAATTATTGAATTGTTGTTTGCATCCCCACCTTCCCCCCACCCCCCAATAATTTTTTGGTGGACCAATTGTAAATTTGAGATTTTTGAGATTTATACATGTATATATCTACATTTAATTATTAGCGAAATCCAAATATTATAGAACTTTAAAATCCTCTATTCCGTTTATTTTTATAATATTTGCACTTTGCCGCCTCTGATTTCCGTTTCTTGTAAAAATCAAGTTCTTAGCTTAACAATTTAATTTTAATGAGGCGCCTCTTTTTCGTTGGTCAACTTCCGAGCGATGACCTATCCAATGCTTATCCAACTTGACCTGTCATTTAGTTTTAATACTTGAGAAATCAGTGCTCGAAATTAAAAATGACTAGTAATTCCGGTGTACCGTTGCTATAACCTGATAAATATCACAGAATAATAATGAAACCCGGGTCCGCATACTTATTTTTTGTTGTTTGGTAATCATCTATTTCTTGATCATTGATGTTGTTTTGCTAAAACATGTTGCTTTCGTCTTGTTATTTGATATTTTTTCTACTTTTATGAATGAATTTTGAGGACTTTTCTATATGATAATATAAATTAATAATGTCAAGCAACATTTTTTTTACTTGTCCACGGGCAACAAAGACACAAAAATTTGCTTGTCCGGTCGGTCAAATGTACGAGTCAGGCGAGTCGGGCATGCCATTTCCACACCCCTGAATGTCTGTTACTTTCAATCTCTTACAATGTAAAACCAAGGACTCATGTATGACAGGAGTGGCACCAATCGCCAAATCGGCAATGACATCTAACAAGATACTTGAGGACAAAACAACACAGAGTTTGATTGCCATCGAAGAGAGACGACTAAAAATAGAGGAAGAAATGCTTCGTGTCGAAAAACAGAGATTGACTATGGAGTCGGAAAGACTTGATATAGAAATACAGCGATTTAACATTGAACAACAGAAACACCAACTGTATATTTGGCACAAATGAACATTAATTTAGCACAAATGGGAGTCCAAGTGTTAGACCAACAAACACTGAGCACACCTGATGATGCCTAGATTTAAACTTTATAAAACTCGCATAATGTTACATAACACATTTTTTGTTAATCTTTATTTCTTTAAATTATTAACGATTCTATAGTGGGTTTTTTCAAAGCTGTCAACCTAAGCATTGAACTATTAATAAACTTTCTGCACAAAGAGTAGAGGATTTAATAAATATCTGGTAGTTGTAATGATAAAAAATACAATATTAAAAAGTAATTGGATGATACAATTTATTCAATGTCCAAATCTTCCATTTATCAGCCTGTTTCTAACATTTGCACCATCATTCAAATGGCCGACATACTGTTGTCTGTCTATGTGTCCTTGGTCTGGGCGAGTTCGGTCAATGTCTGCCGGCAATGGGATTCTATTTGCTATACACATATTATGTAAAACAGCAACAGCAATAAAAATGTCACAGCATTTTAATGGTCTGTAAAGCAATGTGCCAGCACTTGCATCTATGCAACGGAAACGTGATTTTAATACTCCAAAACTCCTTTCGACAACGCTCCTCGTCTTCATATGGGAAGCATTGTATCTTTGTTGATTTCTCGTTGTTGGGTTAAGCACAGGAGTGAGAAGCCATGGTCGAAGTGGATACCCACTATCTCCTATCAGCCATCCATGATCAATTGTTCCGTCCTCAAACATTTCACTCAAGCTAGAATTAGCCCAAATGAAGGCGTCGTGAGTTGCACCTGGCCATTTAGCTACAATGTTTAGAAATTTCATGTTAGAGTCACAAACTCCTTGAACATTAATAGAGTGGTAGTTTTTTCTGTTCACATATAAATGTTCATCTTCTAATGGAGATTTTATTCTAATGTGCGTCCCGTCTATTGCTCCGACGATATTTGGGAAGTCATCAATGCTGTAAAAGCCTTCCATCATGTTATGCAGCTGTGCTCGATCAGTTGTCATCTTAATATATTGGTTGCATTCTCTTTTCAAACACATTGTCACATCACGGGTAATTCTTGACTTTAACTTTATATAGACTATTGTAGCTAAATTTTGGAAGAAAGTACTTCAAAAAGATTAAGATAAAACCATAAAACTTTGGAAATTATTACTTAGAATTATACTTGAATGTGATCTTTCTGTCCCTCCCATTTGAATGTGTTCTTCTTCAAAATCATTACCCTTTTCAGAGGGGTTTAAATACCAACAGTCTATTCTAATGTATACAATGTAAATAAACTAACACCTGCTTACTTATCAATACAATTATATATAAAAATATTTACACTACAATTTACCATCTGTCTCTAGTAACAAACTATTTTTACCAAGACCACAAGGGCGCATTACATTTTCGCGCATTTGGGGATTGAAAATTTTTACGTTTGCGCACAGCTTTTAATTATATTTCTGCGCATTTATTTTACAGGTAACACAGGTAAAATAAAGATAATTCATAATAAATGTAACTAAAGTTAAAACGAATTTTGAATAGATAGATGTTTTATTTCCATTAAATTGGCTCACAAAGGAGCGTAGTACAATATAAGACATTAATAAGACAATTACAAAAAGAAACAACAATAGTCTAGTATACATACAAAGAAAAGAAAAGGCAGTTTGAACATCATATAAATATATATAAATATACGTTCAACAGTGTTTCCTTCCTTCTCAGGTACAGCCCAACATGAAAAAGTTACTAAAATAAATTGGCAATGTATTGAATAAATTTGTAAATTTAAATTTAAATTTTTCTTTTTGAATTCTAAAAACATATACAGTGATCTTGAGAAATCCCGTAATAGCTTAAGACATACACGTGTATCTTAATTGCGAATATTTCAGAGTAAATAGTATTCTGTTTCATAATATTAATGAATAGTGATCGCTTTGATAAATAATTTAAGTCAGTTTGTAAAAATGGGTCAAGGCACACACATGGAGTGTCAGAAACCTATCCGGGTGGAAAAAATCATTAGAGTAACGACATCGACAGAACACTTAAATCCGGGAATATTTCATGGCGATGCACCGTAAATAATTGCAAAGGTATTTCACCAGATTCCCTATTTCCTCCAACTCTTTTGGCATCACTACCGTCAGCAGAATCCAGGCCTACTACAAACGGCCCGTAATCATTCCATGCTCACTACAATGTGCAATTTCATTTAGCACATCCGTGTATTTTGTGCACGTTACGACATGTAAAAGCAGTACTTTTAATCTTTGGATTTACTATGCTTTTACATTTTTATCTGTATATATCCGCAGGACTTATCCTGCTCGAAAACAATCGTTAGATAAATAAATAAGTATAATCTACCTAACCGAGTTTACCTGTAAAAGAATGCGCCCAAATGTAATCAAAAGCTGCGCGCAAATGTAATGCACCGGACCACATACTAATGTTTATGAGAATTTTTCATTATTCTGCAATCAAGGTATGAAATGATTTACCATTCTCTAAATAAATAATGTAATGAAGAATTATTCAAAAATAATTATAACCATAATTTTCTTGGAAATACTATGTAAAACATCAATGATATAACTTTTACTTTTGATGTTTTTGTTTTTGTGGTTGTAACATGAAAACGTTCATTGTTGTTGCTATTTTGATTAAGGAATTATTGTATATCTGTATGTTGTATTTTGCTATTGAATGTGTACTGTATGCATGTATTTGTTTGAGAGCCACAATGAAAATTAGTTGAAATGAGTTACATTGTACCCTCTTTTAGTACATATTAATTTTGGTCTAAGCGTATGAAATCGATTTCCGCGAGTATGACACGTGTTCTGGGAGTTAAATATTCTTCAGGAAACATGTATTTTGGAGCACAGAGATCTGTAACAATTGTTTTATTTTAAAACTATATTCTAATGGACATAAATATAGTTCTTTACATTTTTTTCCTGTTGGGTTTTAATTTTTATAATTTATAGCCTTGATTCTGAGTCAGTAAAAATAGGGTCGCAAAAGAATTTGCATTTACGCTTTCATGATTTAAATAATTTTTTTTAATTTTATTTTAACATTCGGTTTAGTGATTTGTAAATGGTTTAATGAAGTTAAACATACCAACATATTTGTACTTAGCCTCTAAGTTACAAAACAATTTTTTTCAAAGTCGATCAAGGCTAAGAATTCATTATTACTGTTATTTTCAGATATATTTGTTGCAATAGCATTGTTCTATATTTACTCTCATCATCAAAACAGTAATAAACACCAATGACTATGCTATTCTTATGGCATCTGTACATCTGTTTAGCTAAAACGCACCACATGGGCTTCTCGTACAAGAATTAAACTATATGAGAATAAGTGTCCACATGTGACTCTCTCAAATTAAGTTTTTTACACATATAAACATTCAACATAATCAAGGTTAGCACACACGAGCGACAAGTATTTTAAATAGTGCTTTATAAAATAATATAGTATTTTAAGGTTATAATATAGCTTGCCTTTTTGTTATGGTCTAGGAGGGTCTTGTATAAAGAAAAGGATTTGTATGATAATAACTTCGTTGTGTGATAATTGTTTACCAATTAATCTTCATCACGTACGTACGGTAAAACGGTTTGGAAAACCAAAAAAACGAAGAAAAAAACGAACTAAACACTCAAATGACCGGGTTTACACAGAAAAATTACTAAGTTCCCCATATTAGCAGCTATATAATTTCAATTAGTGTGCTATTTTTCTTTGAAGGAAATGGATTAAACACTGTAGGAGTAGATTACACAATATTGGTACCGTTTATTTGAAAATTTTACTGAATTATGACTTACAAATCTAAAAGTAAATTTCCTCAAATAGTTCCGAAAAAGCATCTGCACATCTTTAATTTATCTTAATCACTTTGTTAGTTTCAAGAATCCGGGTTGTCTTATGGGGAGTTAAATACACAAAATTGGTATTGTATTTGCTGAAAAAAAGTATCCAAATTTTGGAAAAATACTCAAACCATAATAGCAGGTGCATAATTTCAATATACGTGTTCAATCTTTCCGTGGAGTTTAAGGAATCTGTATTGTGGAGAGTTTATTGCACAAAATAAGTATCCATTTTTCCCCGCCCGACAGACATCAACCTACTTTAAGCTGACCAAAACCGTAAAATCCCCAAAAGAACAAACAAATACCGAATAATATCAACATTGCTTAAGTTTGTGCAAACATTTTTTTAGGACAATTACACATTTTTATGACATGTCAGTAGATATACCATATGTATTATCTAAAATTAGGCCATGACAGAAGCACACTATTGAGTGGATGGTACCCTCTGGGACTGAGGTCATCCGACAGAAGCCCCAACCATGAAAAAGTACAGAATTCCATATGTGCCTAGCACGTTTTAATGGAATAACCTTCACAAAGTACATTCGAGGAAAATGATATAATGTCGCATGTATTCTTCCAGCGATAAGGCGCATATGTAATAAAAAGCTGTGTGCAAACGTAAAATGATAATGCGCTCAAATGTAAAGCATTGCAACTTGTTACGAACATGTACATAACAATGAAATGATGTATGCTAAGGAATAGAAACTTCATTAAACAAGTGTAATATTAAATATTCAATCATATATAAAGCCCCGAGGATTTTACAAAAAAAATGAATGATTTATTATTTTTAAGATTTTAATTCTCGTCCGAAACGAAAACATAACATGATTATTCAACGAGGCGTATCCTCGCCCACCAGAAACCGGATAATATTGTATTGCAGACAAATCTTCAAATATGAAATCTATCACGTTATTGAAACTCAAATTACCTATTAAGTTTAAAGCGTTTTTTAATGGAATAATAGCAAATGTTTTAATAAACTTCTAGAGATAATCTATCTTGAGACGGCTTAACCTTTTCACTATCAATATTTTTTCGAACTGTGTCGGCTAGAAGGTGCGACAAATGTTTCCTCCGAGGATGTCAATCTATTAAATGCATAAACAGGGGATATTTTTTTATAAAATGTTTGCAAATTATTGAAGACATACTACACTGAATATAAATTGAACTTTATAAATCAGAAAAGTGTGATTAACTAAATACCTTATTAGATCAAAAGATCATAACTGCTTATGAGCATTAAAGTAAAGAAATGCCTGCCAATGAGACAACCATACATTCAAGACAAAAGGACAAAGTTTAAGATATCAACAATCACAAGTCATTGTTCAGCCTTCAATAATGAGCAAAACTCATTCCGTAATGTATATCTATTGTAGACCTAGTCAATAATTATCGATACCTGTTAATGATACATACAGTTTACATGTGAAATGAAGGGGGAGTAACAAACTTAAACCATTTGGGAGTAACAGTGCATATACATATTCGATTCAATAGAATAAGGCTAAAACTCTCTCGCTCTCTCTCTCTCTCTCTCTCTCTCTCTCTCTCTCTCTCTCTCTCTCTCTCTTATGCATTATTATGTCTCCATATTCTATTATCTCCTTGCAACAGAGTTACGGAGGGGATATTGTAATGCGACTGTCCGTCCCTACGTAGCACACAATTGAACGCTGTATGGCTCGTTCCTCCACCGATCTTCACAGAACTTAATGTGCACATTCAATAGACGAAGGACAAACTCTATTGATTTTAAAGGTAAAAGGACAAGGTCACATCGATATTTTCCTGCATAAAAAACCTTTCGTTTCTTTGTAAAATTTTTGATTTTGAGAAACTTTCTTAATAAACTGAAAACCATTTGGATTTAACTTCCGGTTCCTATGTAGCAATATTCTAGCAGCATCTGCGTATGGAGTTAATATCTCTCAACTCGTTACTAGAGAGATTGTTGCCTTCACAGTATCTTTTTGGACAAGGCCAAAATGTTGACTCAAACAGAGGTTTGTTTCTTACGATTGAGGTACTTATTGTTTAAGTTTTATTGTCGTCGTTACGAGTCGATTGACCGCTGATCAGCATTACGCACA